TTGTGTGTGTGAGCACCTGTGAGCATGGACGCGCTTGTTTTTTAAAAAGGTTCCTTCATGTAATGATCTGCTAGAGGGTGTGGGGGGCCACAGCCCCATCCTCCAGGGCATGAAGCAGGTATGGAGGAGATCAAAACTCCAGACATCCAGAGGCCCCAGAACACAAGAGACCAAGGAAGACCAACAGAGGGGCAGCCGCGCCACTGTCCCAGAAAGAGCTGAGGAGAGTCCCAGATGAGGGCTCACTCAGCAGCCGCGGAGCAGAAGCCAGGGGGAGTTGCAGTGACGCGCCCGTGAGCTCCGCGGCAGCCAGCCGTGCCTGAGTGACCGAGCCCCAGGCCGAGAGGCCGGGGGCACCCCCACCTCCGAAGTGGCCCGAGCGAGCCCCAGGCTCCAGGCCCGATAAGCGGCCGCCAAGGAGTGAGCCGGTGTGTACCTGGACGCCCATCCCCGGACACAAAGAACCACCAACGCACCGATGTCTGAGGGAGTCCGCCACTGGCAGGGGAAGTGGTGGTAGGGGGAGATAGGCCTCCAAACCTGGAGGGCCTGAGATGTCCCCAGAGAGGTGGCGTCTGATACCCAACCTGACATATAGACACAGACATACAGGCACACACAGATACAAACATCCCATTCCCACCCTCATGCTCTCATATGTACTTACTCCACACTCAACCAACGTGGAGACAGACATAAAGAGACGCTGTACACACGATCACACTCCCAAGCGTACTCTACGAACTGGGTCTAGGTACCGTTGCCCCTGGAGGGGGAACTGCACCCAGACCCAGGTAGTGTTACCCTTTTCCCTGCGGTGGGGAGAGGCAGACCACCCCAACTCCGCAGCAGCAGGGAGGCCCCACACTCCAGACCGCAGTCGGACGGCCAACTCCTCCTCCTAGCCCCCCTGCTCCAGCAGGCCGCAGAGAATGGGGGTGAGAGAAGACTCCAAACCTCCCTCCACCCGCTCATTGTAGTGTTGATGCATGTGTGTTCTAAGGTGCATTTAAAACCCAGGAGGGTATGGAGCTACCTGCCAGAGAGCAGCAGGTAAGCGCATAGTCCCTCCTGATAGCCCTCAATGTCTACGTGTATTTAAAATTGAGAGGTGGGCAACGACACCAGGGTGGGGTGTACATGTATCGTGTATCCATGTATCCATGTATTGTGCCCACCCCCAAGATCCTATATGTATGTGTAATGAGAGTGTGAGTAATGTGAATGTCTAAGTTGTGGGATAAAATTGAGGCAGAGGCAGCCAGAAGGGGACAGAGGGGGGTAGCCTCCTCTGCACCCTGGTGACACCCCCATACTCCGCGCCCCGCCAGGGAAAGGGGGCCCAGGCCCATCCAGACCGGGGCCCAGTGCAGCAGCGCCTCCCGGCCCCACAGAGCCCGGGACAGTCCACCCAACCCCACCACAGAGAAAACTGCACCCACCCCACCATCCACTCATCTTCCAGACTACATAAGACAATAGACGCCCAGGCTGAGATCTTCCTCCACCTCTCCTGTATCTCCCCCTCCTGCAGAGAGAGTTCCTGAAGAGCGGAAAGCTCCAGAGAGTTGCAGCATGGCCTGGAGGTGTCACTATCACAATCTGCGGGGAGTATGATCATTTGTTATGAAAAAGAAGACCCAAATGCAGACTCACAGGCTGGCAAGGATAAACTAAAGGCAGCCTGTTTATTTTGGACGGAGAGAATGATATGAAATATCTGACAGGGAACTGAGAAACTCAGAAACCTATACTGGGGGATAACACTAGGAAACATGACCAGTGAAGCTGGGTGACGAAAGGAGAAGATTAAACAATAAACACACAGGACGGTTATTAGGGAAGAGGAGACGGCAGGGACAAATCAGGAGTAACGAGACAGTTACAGCAAAACTCAACATAACCAACAAAATAAAATAGGAAGCACGTGTTTTGATCGCTGGCTCCAGTCTGCATGCTGAAGCTTCCTTTGGTTACAAGATACAGAACCAACGTTAGTGTGAATGAGACTATGAGAATGTTATATAGCATTTGCTCCACTTTGAATTCAGTTTGAAGAAGTAAAGAGACAAACAAACTTAAAAGAGACCATAGGATTAAAAAAACACAGACACCGCAAAAGGACGAAACACGGGCAAGAAGCAAAGTAAACAGAAAAGGAAGCAAGGAAATAGAAAGATAAGATCCACATGAATAGAATAGACAAAATATGAGTGCTTCAAGCAAACTGTGCAGGAATAAAATATAAATAGCAAACAGCAGAAATAAATAACAAATGGGGGAAAATATGTAGGATGAACAGGAACAAAGACACTGGAGAACAAAGTGGTGAGGGTTACTCAGACCACCATTAACTGACTAAATACATGGGAACTGGCAAAGTGAGACGCGGTCACAGAGAGTGACAAGGTACAAGGCGCACAAAAAGAGGGACTGGCAAAATTAGACGTCTATCAGAAGTACAGAATACAGAGACAGACAGGCAGACAGTGAAACAAACATGGAGACAAAACCTGCTACACACAGAGACAACACTAACACGGCCTGAACATGAAAGGAAACAAATTTAGACCAGCAACTAAGAGGAAGCACTAATTTGGAAGGGAAATAATACCAGACATATGGTGCACTCTGAATATCACCAGTCTGTTGCAAAGCTAACAGAGAGACAGACAAGCATTCACACCTACAGCTAATTTAAAGATACCACTTCAGCGTCACAGCTGGGTCCTTCTCTGTGTTATAAACGACACAGAGAAGGCCCCAGCTGTGACGCCACAGTAGTTCATTTGTTGACTGATACATCGATGTAGTCTCTCAGGAACGAGGGCGAAATGCCAACGACCGCCTGTCTGTTTTCAGGGCTGTATTTGAAGCCATGCTCCAATCAGGCAAAGTTTTAAGTGTTGCACATTTCGATGGGTTTCTTTCAGCTGACATAGTTTCCATTTGGGTCATGTGGTGTTAGATACCCCAGCGTGTGGTCATAGGGTGAAGAGCCCGGACGATTAGTGGGATTTTAGGTGTGGTGTAAAAATGACGCTGCAACTTTAAAAACGTTGTTGCTTTAAGGATTAACGTACAACCATACTTGGGCTGAGTTTGACACTGGTTCTCTTCAGTAATTAAAATAGCTTTAACACATGATAAGATCAAATGTCAGCTACACTGTGACAGTCGAGGGGCCACACTCAGATATATTTATTCGCTTGTTCTCTTTGTGTGATAAGAGTTTCCATCTGAATTTAACCCCTGTGTGGGGCTGATCTTTCATTTCATTTTATTTCAAGCTCAGATTCTTTGCCTTTGGCACATTTTCTGTGACGAGACTTCAAACCATTCCCACCGTCCTTATTAATCAACATGGTGAAGTGATTCTTCGCAAGGTGATGGGATAGGAAGAGTTTCAGAAAATGAGGCCTTTTGTCTTTATTGGAGAGGTCAGTGCAGACAGGACGGATGGGGGGAAGGCGAGGGGGGAATGACACACAGGAAACGGTGTTGGTCAGACCCAAAGACAGGCGTGGGCAGTGAGGACTCTCACCTTCAGACTCACTGTCTAATCAGTCTGACAGTGAGTCTGAAGACAGAGCAACCCAACACACGTTACTATGTTCATCATCATCATCATTGTTTATTTATATAGCACTTTAAAAACACACAAGGCTGACCAAACTGCTGAACAATAGAAACATAATAGATACCATAAGAATAATAAATACGATAAAATAATAAACATAGCGAAAAACAATAAAATACAAGTAAATACAAGTCAGTCAACCACTGAGTCAAAAGCCAGTGAATAAAAATGCATTTTCAATCTGGATTTAAAAACCAGCACTGATGTCGATTGCCTAATGTGAAGAGGAAGATTATTCCAAAGCTTAGGAGCCACGATAGAGATCGCTCGGTCTCCTCTCAGTTTCAGCCGTGATTTGGGGACTGAGAGCAACAGCTGCTCAGCTGACCGGAGCGAACGAGTGGGGACATAGGGCTTCAGCAGGTGCCAGACCATTTAAAGATTTAAAAACCAATAAAAGAACTTGAAAATGAATCCTAAATTCAATTGGAAGCCAGTGCAGGGAGGCCAAGAGTGATGTTATCACTAAGCAGGACATTAAATCAAATTAATGAGACACCAAAACAAGAGCTGGAGCCCAAGACAGCCATGAAGTCACAGTGTACACAAATACACAAGAAACACAGAAACCAGCTGGGTGGATGTGGCTCGGGAACCTTCTGTTACCTTGAACGTCGGTGTTTTGAACGCTGGCTGCTCCAGTCTGCTTGTATTTGTCCAAGATTTCCCCTCATATCTTGGTTATGGTTATTTTTTCTTTTATTAAACTGATCACACTCCTGTTCATGAATAGAAAAAAACCCCATCAGTGTATTTTCACTTAAACAAGCAGCTGTTTTTTTTGCATTAAAGTTATATAAAAATGTAACAGTGCAAATTCCTTGCTGACAGTTTAACCAAAAGGCATTTCCAGTGGAAAGTAGCCGACATATCCTCAGCATAACCATGTATAATATCCACAAAACCTGAGAAGGTTGGAGAGAAGGTAGGCGAACTCTGCTGGGATCTGCGTTTAACAAAGTGTCTAAAGACGAAACAAAGAAATCTTTCTGTAAATGTTCAGATGCACAGACTGGACTGAAAAAGAGTGAAAAAGCAGCTAACGTCCAAAAATAAGAAAACTTTGAAAGAACTCCAAAAAAACCTGGAGAACTTTTGCTCAAAAAACAGTTTTGTTTTTTTTTTATTACAAGGCAATCTGACAAAATGTCATCAAATGAGACTCAAGACTTCTGCAGGTCTCTGCCATGACTCAATTTTTTTTTCTTAACGGCAGAAACAATTGTTCCTTTTTTACTTTGTTTCTATTTTCTCTTCTCGTTTTTATCTGTTGAACAACAAACAACATTCATGCTGATTCACATAATATCCTGTCTCTACTCTCTGGGATTTCCTCGTAGCTCTTTGATGCAAAGAACATCCATCAAACGCTCCAGCTTGTGCTCAACATCATCGTGAACGGTGATGGTACTCTGACGAGAAAATACTCAGTCGACCTTTTGGTTGATTTGTTAAAGAACCCCAAAATAGCTGATTACCTAACAAGGTATGCAGATAATTCACAGCTCTTTTCCTGAATAGCTGCTTTAAAACTCTGCTGAAAGCCTTTGTCCATTTCCAGGTATCCCCACTTCTCGGCATGTGTGTCTCAAGTGTTAGGACTGCTGCATTGGAAAGACCCAGACCCTGCAGCCAAGGTGAGAGACGACAAATATGATAACCCACACCAGCTGTGCTTAACTCTGTAAGTTCCCAGTATTCCCTGAAACCATCACGTGTGACACAGTTTACATCAGACGTGATGCAGCTGACGTCAACACTGACCTTCTTGTGGTAACAGAGACTTAAAAAAATAATAATAAAGCAACAAAGTGGGTCGCTCTTTGACAGTAAATTCCAGTGCGGTCCGCTCCAATCTCCTCAGGCTGACTCTCTTCTAGGCTCTCCTGACTGTTCCCTTTACATGTTGATAATGTGTCTTGTAAATCTGGATCCCTTTCCAGCAGGACGCTCCTCTTTTTCAGACAGTACCTCAGCTGCTCTCTCTCCTGACAGCCAGCTGTCCACCTCTGCATGGCCAGTCGAGCCAGCGCCGGCATTTGAGGCAGAGCTCGGAGCAGAGCGGGCAGCCAGGCTGAGCACGGAGCAGAGGTTGAAGGTCGCAAACTGACATCTACGTCTTCCAGAGAGCCCAGACCTCCTGCTGCAAACAGACTGCACCAACCGTTGTCTCCCACCAAGCTGTTGTAGGACAGATCCAGTGCACGGAGTGAGGAGAGACAGCCCCGTCTGCACACGGCAGCTGCACAGAGGAAGAGGACCCATTGATAACTGATCACTTTATGCCTGTTCACTTTACTGTTTTGTTCACAATGTTTCTGATGGAGACAAAAATAACACCGAATAGTTTCATTGTTTTGTTTTATACGACAGCTACAGATGCTGGCAGCATGAAATAAATGAAAGAAATATCAATTTCCTTCAGGCTTTACTTGTCTTAATATACATTTATGCAGCCTAATGATCCACTACAGACCAAAAAAGAAAAAGTATAATGTCATTGTGTGTTAGTTACCCAGATGTAGCATGTCATCAGTGGTGAGCTCGCAGCTGCAAAGACGGAGCTCGCTGACGACTGATGGCTGCAGAGCATCCAGCAGGAGCGCCAAGTGACCGCCAACCACTTTACACCAGGAAATATCCACCGTGCGCAGATAGGACACCGCCAGGGCTGATGCATAAACACAAAGTTTTCACCATTTCAGGCTAGAGGGTGGAAGAGGTATTCGGGGAGAATGACTTGAAGGAAAACTTCTATAAATAAACAAGTGTGTGTGTGTGTGTGTGTGTGTGTGTGTGTGTGTGTGTGTGTGTGTGTGTGTTACCCAGAGCAGTGAAGGACTCGTTGCTCATGTAGCAGCTGTTGAATGGCAGCCGCCTCATTTGTGTCGCAGGGAGGGCGGAGACCAGCAGGTGGACCACACCTCCCACTTCCTTATTGGATGACACATCAAGCTCGGTCAGTGCAGTGAGAGAGGGCAGCACCTGGACTGAAAAACAACGAGTCACATGACTGCTGCAGCGAGCATGCGATTAGTGTCCGGCGTGTGAGATTGGTAGCAACTGACTCAGAGCCTCTAGATCATCTCGCGTGAGGCAACACAGGTGGAGGTCGAGTCTCTCCAGGTGTGTGACGTGAGCCAGGTGAAAGGTGAGGCGGCTCAGTCCACCAGCTAGAAGCAGCTTTACAGTATATTAATCAGAACAATGCTGCTCTCTAATGTATCTTGGTAAAGCGCAGAAAAATCTAATGTTTTATATGATACAGTGTGATTTCAGTAACATATCATAATGGAGGCTTCAGCAAGTACTTACGAAGGACATCTTTCCTCTGCTCTTCAGTTAGTTCATCAAATACCTCCCAAAACATCTGTATGGTGGGGTGGCGGTCATGATATCTCCAACCATAACTTGTGTTCTGAAAACAGTGAAAATGACTGTTATAATCATAGAGTTTGTAAGGTCAGGCACATATACACTATGTTGCCAAAAGTATTCCCTAACACATCCAAATCATTCAATTAATGTGTTCCAATCACTTCCATGGACACAGGTGTATTAGATCAAGCACCTAGGCATGCAGACTACTTCTACAAACATGTGTGAAAGGACGAGTCGCTCTCAGGAACTGAATGAATTCCAGCATGGTAATGTGATAGGATGCACCAGTGCAACAAGTCCAGTCATGAAATTTCCTCGCTATTAAATATTCCATAGTCAGCTGTTAGTGATATTATAACAAAGTGGAAGTAATTGGAAATGACAGCGAGTCAGCTGATGCTAAGGCTCATAGTGCACTTAAGTCACCAATATCTGCAGTCTGCTGTTGTTACAGATGTCCAAACTTCATTGGTTTCCATGGCTGAGCAGCTGCATCCCAGCCTTACACTGACAAACATAATGCAAAGCGTCAGATGGAGTGATTTAAGCATCTCAACACTGGACTCTAAAGCAGTGGAGATGTGTTTACTGGAGTGACGAATCACACTTCTCTGACTGGCAATCCGATGGATGTGTCAGGGTTTGGTGGTTGCCAGAAGTACTTGTCTGACTGCACTGTGCCAAGTGTAAAGTGTGGTGGAGGGGCGGTTATGGTGTGGGGCTGTTTATCGGGAGTTGGGTCGCCCCCTTAGTGCAGATGAAAGGAACTCTTAATGCTTCAGCATATCAAGACAATTTCATGCTTCCAGTTTGGGGATGGCCACTTTCTGTTCCAACATGGCTGGGCACCAGTGCACAATACAAGGTCCATAAAGACATGGATGAGTGAGTTTGGTGTAGAAGAACTGGACTAGCCTGCACAGAGTCCTGACCTCAACCTGATAGAACATCTTTGGGATGAATTAGAGCAGCAACTGTGAGCCAGGCCTTCTCCTCCAACATCAGTGTCTGACACCACAAATGCACCTCTGGAAGAATAGTCAAAAAATTCCCATAAACACACCTAAACCTTGTGGAAAGCTTTTCCAGAAGAGTGGAAGCAGTTATAGCTGCGAAGGGTGGGCTGACTATTATATTATACTATCATACAAAAGTCTGGATTAAGACTGAGATGTGACTCAAGTTCATATTTGTGTTAAAGCAGCCGACTGAATGCTTTTGACAGTATGCAGTACACAGTTATTGTGCTACAGGACAGCTGTGAAACTACAGCCTGTGTCTGTTTGGCTGACTGTACCTGTTTGAACTTTTCCCAGTCATGCACGTCCTGGCCGACCAGCACTCCCTGCAGCTCCTCTGGTCGAAACAGCCTCACCAAATCCTGCTCACACACCAGGAAGAAGCCTCGCTTGAACTCCTGGAACAGACTCTCCACTGATGTGTTGAAGGCATGATTCACATAGGCCTCCACAAACTCCTTCCTGTTTAGGAGGGAAAATTTTGAATCAGCAAACATTTCACAAAGACAAAGGTGCTGCAGATGAACCTCACAAACACTTCATGTTTTATATGCTTACTTATTTTGACCTGTCACACAAACACTATAAAACATTGTTTCTGTGCTTTGGGGTTTTTCTTTTCTACACAGAGGTATAGCACGACTAGACCCTAAAGGCAGGCTGCTCACCTACAACCAGCTCATAAACATCTTTCCAATGGAGCTCGCTGCCCTTCTCGTGGATGAGGGTCACTGTGATCCTCCGCTGGATCCCCTGCAGCAAACATAACAGGAGCTCAGGATCACAGTGAGCACAGCTAGAGCAACATTACGCTTTAAAAAAAGATATAGCCGCTCACAAGCTAGCGGATCAACTCCATCTTACGGGCATAGTCTGGATGTGCGATATTGATGAACGGTGAGAGAGATTGAAGGAGAAAAGAAGAGGAAGGAGGACAGAGTTGGGTAAGAGGATTATATAAATAAGAGATACATACATATCCAAAGGAGGTGAGAAATGACAAGGGGAAAAAAGTGGAAGGTCACACGAGGCAGCTTATGTAAAAAAAAATCAACATAAAATTATTGATGGCAAAGAACACATTGAAGTGACATGGAAACACTCGCCTGGTTTGGACAGAGGCATGGGAATAGGATAGTACTTCCTGGATGCTGTTGGAGGACTGTTGACATAATAAAAATACCTTTTTTCTATATATGCATATAAAATTAGCCAATGTGATTAGAATACAATCGTTTACACATTTCTAACAAAATCTGCTGCATTAAATATGAATTATCACTGCACGACTGGATCTGCTGTTTGACCCCCACCAACCTGGTCCCGTCCTGATATTCTAACTCTGTAATATGCAACTTCTGTCAGTGTCCTGATACTGGAAACTGAATTTCCCAGAGGAACCACCCGAGGGATTAATAAAGTTCTATCTAATCTACATCGACAACAGAAAAAGAAAACCTGCTGCTTGCAACAGCATTGTGTTAGAAGCATTTTTACTGGAGTGAATACATTTAACTGTACTTGCATCATCTGTTAAAAGTACTTATATATTGCAATAAGACTGCAAAAAGCAAAGGGGACTGAATTCTATAGTATGTGGTATGTGTATAAGGTGACACATGTATGCAGTTTCCTGCCATTAGTGTAATGTAAACTTGGAATCATCACATATCTACAGGTATTTGTACTGAATGGAATGAGCTGTGGTGATTAAAAGCATTAGCAAAAGCATACTTACTAGTGGCCTTTTCTTCTTAGGTCTGGATCTTGATGCCTCTGGGACTGAAGATCACAGCCAAGTCACCAGTTTCATAAACAACAAACAAACAAAAAGCAAATAAACAAAACACTTTCAGAGATCGCACAACTTTGGTTTTCATCTTCATATGATAATGTTCCTTGAATCAAATCTTCCATACACACTCTACTACAGTGTATCAGACTATTCTAAATACTTCCACAAACAATGACATACCCATCTTTGTCTTTTTGTGGCTTTCACCAAGAACTCTCCCCCTGGTGGATCCTGTGTTGACGTACGTGATTTTGGGAGAAAAACAAAAACAAAATCATTTTAAATGGTTACATTAAATGTAATAATATCAACATTCAATAGATTTGACTGTACATGTATCAGCTGGTGTAAAATACATGTTCCTTGATCCTTGGTCAGGGAACATAAATTACTGTCGTTTCAGCCATCGGGTACTCCTCTAAAATTCAGCCTGGACTCCAAATATAAAGCATACAATACATACAAACATACAAATCACCTTTGCTGGTCTTGTTGCCTGCGTGCTCCACTTGCCCCTCTGAAGTGCTCAGTGGGTCATCCTGTCCCTTGTTGAGCTCAATCTTCTCCATCACATTCCTCACTTCCTCCACCTGCGTGGTCCTCACCTCCCGTCCCTCCATAATCGTTGCCTCCTCCTGGTTGTTGATCATTCAAGTTAGTTTACACAATGGGTCAAACTTTTAACTTTATCCTGCTTTACGCCTCCTGGTTTGTAGCAGACTAAGTATATATGATGTATGAAAGGGAACAGAGTGGAGTTAGAGTGTGAGGGTGAAGGAGAAGATGTTGTGATTCAGTGATGATGATGATGATGATGATGGTGACCAAACGTCAGTCTGCTGGAAGTGCAAAATGCTACAGACCCCTGACTCCACCAAAACATCGAGCTTAAGACTACATACCTTTTCTTCAAGGCCCGTGTACAATGTGCTCTTTAACCTCTATAAACTTCAAATCCAAGTGTAGACACAGATGCCACACTGACAGACTGAAAAGAATTACAAAAGCTTTTGGTAAAAGGTCTCATGATGACTATCTAAATTGCATGTGACTTCACTGTGTTGGAACAGATGTACTATAAATGCCAGTTCATCTCACAACAGCTACTGAATGTGTTCATTTAAATCTGTCTAAAGAGCCAGTAATCACAGAGGATAGATACTGGAAGCAAACTGAAATGTTAGGAGGAACTAAATCACACATTACAACACCAGTGGCAGCACCCTGCTGTCTCACACATCGGGATCACGGTCCTGTTGAAACTGTGAACAAGTATTTGCCTCCTTTCTGATTTCGTATCTTATTCCATATTTGTCACACTTACACCTTTCACATCAATACATTTATAACATTAGACAACAATGTCTAATATTCAACGGCAGTTTGCAAGGGCAAAACGCTATCCAAACATACTTGATCCTATATTGTATTGTATTGTATCTTTCTTTATTTCAGACATATAGAGAAAAAAAAAACAATATATACACAACTACACATACTTTCATTTACAAATACGAATATATATGTAAATACACACACACACGTATGTGCTCAGATAAAACAAAAAAATAAAATAAAATAAAACAAAGTCTAAATGACATGAAATGACAATTATTTGGTCTGAAATGGAGTAGGAAGAAGCATAACATACTTATTAATCCCTACCCCCTGCTCAACATTTTGTTGAATCCCACATAATTCACCTAATTCCCATCATCACTTACCCCACACAATAAACAAGGAGAACATGTATAAACATAGCTACAGTGATAGATAGAATTTAGATAGAATTTAGTATATTTATACATACAATGGGTGATCAACTTTATCAGTTTCATATTCTTCCAAAAGCAGTTTTCGAAACATCTTTATGAACTGACTAATTCTTGAGCATTGCAGTAGGTCCACAGTAAAACTATTCCACAGTTTTACCCCATAAATAGTAACACAAAAGGTTTTAACCTTTGTCTGTGCTTTAAGAGTCTTCAGATTTAATTTCCCCCTCAATTCATAGCCCCCTTCTCTGTCAAAAAACATCCTCTGTACATTTCCTGGTAACACATTGTATCTGGCTTTGTACATAATTTTTGCAGTTTTATATTTTATAAGATCCATAAACTTCAGAATTTTTAATTTCAAGCACATGATGTTTGTTGGTCTCTAAATCCTGCTTTAGTAATCATCCTGATTGCTTTTTTCTGAATTTTACATAGTGGTTGAAGTGAAGCTTTGTATGTATTTCCCCAGATTTCCACACAGTATTCCAAATATGGCAATATAAGTGAACAGTAAAGTACCCGGAGTGATTTGGAAGGCAAAAAATGTTTAACTTTACTCAGTACAGAGATGCTTCTTGACAGTTTAGCTTGTGTATGCTTTATGTGAGGTTTCCAGCAGATTTTCTTATCTATTATCACACCCAGAAATTTTGTATCAGAAACTTGCTCTATTTCAACATTGTTTATTAACAATTTTGCTCCGGCATCTTTTTTTACAATTTCCAAATAACATAAATGTAGTTTTTTTCAAATTTAGTGATAACTTGTTTCTGTCAAACCATGTTTTCAGTTTAATCATTTCTTGTGTGACAATTTCCAAAAGCTGCTGTGAATTCTCTCCAGCACAAAAAATATTTGTATCATCTGCAAATAAAATAAACTGTAATATATCAGATGTTTTACATATATCATTGATGTAGAGGATAAACAGCTTTGGTCCCAATACTGACCCCTGTGGAACTCCGCAAACAATGTCCAGGCACTCTGATATTCACCAATCTTCACAAATTGTTGCCTGTCTCTCAAATAACTCCTGACCCACTCTAGCACCACTCCTCTAATGCCATAGTACTCCAGTTTATCAAGTAATATTTCATGATTAATTGTGTCAAAAGTCTTTGATCTATATTGTTGGTGATATTTTCAATTAGTTCCATTAATGCAAAAAAAAAAAAAAAAAAAAAAAAAAAAAAAAAAAAAAAAAAAAAAAAAAAAAAAAAAAAAAAAAAAAAAAAAAAAAAAAACCAAAATCCAAGATGTTGATCTATTTGGTCTGAAACCATACTGACTGTCCATTATTATTTTGTGTTTATCTATAAAAGTCAAAAAAAAAAAAAAAAAAAAAAAAAAAAAAAAAAAAAAAAAAAAAAAAAAAATTTGTCAAGTCTATTAATGAAAACTTTTTCCAGTATTTTTGAAAATTGTGAAAGTAGAGAAACAGGCCTATTGTTACACCCCGGCCTAGGCAACCGGAGTGCAACACGAAAAAAGTAAAAAAAAATAAATAAATAAAAAAAAAAAAAATAAAAAAACCCCAAACACCACACACAAAAAACCCCCACTAAAGCTCACCACCAAAATCCCGAAACGAAAGTATCAACAAATCTATTTACAACAAACTATTTACAACACGGGGGAGATCGCGACCATGACACACTGAAACACAGGGTTTAAATACCTAGAGGGAGCAATCAGGAAAATGGACAACAAGAGGGAAACACAGCTGGGGCAACTCAGAACTGACGAGACAGGGAAACGTAAACTGAAAAGACTAAGATAACACAGACTTTCAAAGTAAAACAGGAAACACATAACAGTCACACCAAAAAGAACACACTGACAACACCGAAACGTAACACTATAATTTGTAAATTGGTGTCTATCTCCATTTTTAAACAGTGGTATTACTTTAGCTGTTTTCATTTGTGTTGGGAATGCACCAGTTTGTAGAGACAAATTGCAAATGTGTGTTAAGGGTTTGGAGATGCCATCTATCACTTTCTTAACGATTTCCATATCAATGTCATCAGAGTCTGTAGAATTTTTTGTTTGTGATTTCCCAACAATATCAATGATTTCCTTTTCTTCTACCACCGTTAAAAACATTGAATGAGGATTGCAGTCAATGAGTTTCGTTTCTTTCTCTGCAGAATCTGTTATATCAGGAATTGTTTCAGCCAAGTCTGGCCCAACACTTACAAAGAATTTATTAAACTCATTAACCACATCTCTCATGTTAGTAATATTTCTATCATTATCATTATCATTCATATCATATTAAAATGTAATCGCACCGAAAACCTGATACCTTGTGTGTCACCTCTGACACCAACAACTGCAGCAAGCGTTTGGTGCTAGAGGTCACATTTTGAGTTTGTGAAGATATTTAAGGTAGACACACATAATTAGCGGCAGCTGTGTTGTTGATCGGGAGGAAGCAAACAGTTTGTGACCGCTGCGCTGCTGTTAAATCCTGAAAATAAAGAATCTGAAGGACAAGATGAGTAAGGCTGGAGTTATTGGACTGTATCAAGTTTAATAACTTCATGCATACCAGTGACATCGCGTCACCCCCGCCAACGAACAGCCCAGTGGCTTCAAGCCTGGGCTTAGCCTCTACAGGAGAGGTTTCAGCCATGTGTGTCCATCACAAGCCCACCACCATGATCTCAGGCCTTGAGGCAACAATCACGAAAACTAATCTTAACTGAGAGTGTTGGATGTCCTCATTGTTGCAGAGCACATGGACAGCATACTCACCTGGTTCTGTGGGCCAGCAGCACATGTCACACCATCCATCACCCTTGTCATCACATTCAATCTTGGTCTGAGAGAAACCTGAAGACAGAAACGTTCAATGATAAAAACACACAGTAGAATAAAATTGTGAGAAGTCATCAGTTGATGCAGTTTAAGGACACTTGTTGTTCTGTGCAGTCTCACCTGGAGCTCACGTTTCTAGTTCATGCCATCATCACCAAAGATTCCTCAATTAATAGTTTAAAGATGTCCATGAATGCACTGCTAACTGCTCTTCACCCTGATAAAAATCAACATGCATTTAGAATAAGAAACACTTTTACAAAACCAAAAGCTTCACTGTACTTAGTGATTTATACGTCTAAAAAAACAGGTTCAGTTTGTAACAGAGAGCGGCTCAGTGGTGCTGAATTATATTTCCAATAGAAACACAATGTCATATGTTGTAGTAACAACACACTGCCACAAGATGGCAGCCTAGGCCTACTTTACCATGCTATTCCAGTAAAAAAAGAAAAAGTGACAGAGCCTTGAAAGAGTGACAGAGACACTTTTTATGAACTCATCTGTAATGTGTCACCTTTTCTGTAGGATGAAGAAGTGCTTCCCTTCTTTTAAAGTAAATACAGGCTTACAAAGATCCTCTAAACATGTTTCTGAAATAATAATAATGGTTTGGATTTATATAGCGCTTTTCAAGGCACCCAAAGTGCTTTACAATGCCACTATTCATTCACTCTCACATTCACACAATAATCCTAAACACAATCATTAAATCAAAATTTTTTTTTCGTTTTTTTAAATCTATTTAGCTTGTTGTGCAGTATTGTCGCTGTAAACAGTGTTGCTGTAAACAGTGTGTCACGTTACTTGAAAAAAGTAATCGGATTACAGTAACGCGTGGGCAGTTAACATCTCTGTTAACTAGTCATGATAGAAGCCAATATTTCTGTCCTAACATGGTCTGAATATGTTTGACTACAAGCTAACATTTACAGCATGACTTTAAGCTAGCACCATAAAGACGGTAAAAGACACTGTAATATGTAGAAATGCATGTGAAAAGTGTTATATTAGCAGTGGCTGTGCTACTCCACACAGCCACTTTAACATTACTGACACTGTGTTTCTTACCTGTAAACAGCAGGTCGTGTGGGATAAAAGCTTGTGCAGAAAGTAGCAGGTGTAGACTGGCCCATAGCACTGTATGAAGTGATAAGATGTGAAAGGACATATATAGGGTACCTTAAAGGGCGCCTTAAAAGTGTTTCCCTGAGCTTTTTTACTTGCAGCTTGATATCTAAATAAATGTGAATGAAAAAAAAAAAAGCTGGAAAAAGGAGGAGCCCGGAGCTTCGTCTTTCGCTCGGCCTACCCCGCTATAGCAGACAGACCGTCAGAGACTCGAACTTGGCCGTTAAACTCTGGGGTCTGAATGCTGGCCTCTTAACGCTGCGCACCACACAGCCGGCCAGTTGAAAATAGAAAAAAAGGACATTTATCTTCTGTTGTTCAACAATTTTTTTCGTTTTTTAAAATCTATTTAGCTTGTTGTGCAGTATTGTTCCACACAAATGACACATGGAAACCTAGCTATTTTTTTTTACTGGCTTTCACAAAATGGGACTGCCAATGTTGGAGGTGTTACTGCGCCAAAGTCTTCCTGCTAGCCGGAAACCTGCTGGCGGCGCCACTATGTTCTCAGCACACTCTTCAGCGTCAGCTTTGTTGCCTGTTTTCGGCACACCTACCTAGTCCCACTCATCCACTTTATCTGCTCATGGCAGATTTACCCACACTGAGCACTCCTTGGATTAAGGTAAATTGAAGCAGGTCATTATAAAAAAGACACACAGTTTATCATCTTATCCTTGTGCAACAGCTAAAAGCACTCTGTTCATTTGTTTGCTAGATTAGCCGCTAGCATACATACACTGTGTTAGAGGCTTGTTGCTACCTAGTTAGCGATGCTACACACCTGTTACTGTGTATTTTTCAATGATTCAGCACTCCTTGGATTTTTAGACAGTAATGAGATCATGTGCACACTCCACAGAGGTCCAGAGTCCAAATGTGACCTCTAGCACCAAACGCTTGCTGCAGTTCTTGGTGTCAGAGGTGACACACAAGGTATCAGGTTTTCTGTGTGATTACTTTTTCATATAGGACCAAGTATGTTTGGATAGCGTTTTGCCCTTGAAAACTGCTGTTGAATATTAGACATTGTTGTCTAATGTTATAAATGTATTGATGTGAAAGGTGTAAGTGTGACAAATATGGAATAAGATAGGAAATCAGAAAGGAGGCAAATACTTGTTCACAGGGCTATAGTCTGTAAATGGTCTTCTTTTGGCTATAGTAGATCTTTTACTTGTTCATTTTTTAATTGTTTGTTAAAATAGTTTTTTCCATCATATTGAGTATAGAGGAATGCAACTGTGGGCTTTAGCGATTAGCCCGTTTCAACAGGACCGTGATCCCGATGTATGAGACAGCAGGGTGCTGCCACTGGTGTTGTAATGTGTGATTTAGTTCCTCCTAACATTTCAGTTTGCTTCCAGTATCTATCCTCTGTGATTACTGGCTCTTTAGACAGATTTAGTAGAAGTGTGTGAGCTATTGGCTCAGTATAAAGGGTCAGTAGTGTTTTCATGTCACCTATCCATCCTCCATTTAGTCACCCAAAGCATGTAGTAAATACTGCTCACTTTTATTCATCTTCTCTTAAATCCAGAAAAATTCCCACTTGTTAACGTTGAGCGTGTGTGTGTGTGTGTGTGTGTGTGTGTGTGTGTGTGTGTGTGTGTGTGAGAGAGAGAGAGAGAGAGAGCTGTGCATGAAGTGTGGTGGAAGCAAAACAGCAAAAGTCAGAGTGAATTCATGATGATGTTTTTGTGAAGCGTAGTTTGGATCTTCTTTTGCTGCTGGTTCAGTCAATATTGTTTTGGAGAGACATCAAACTAACAGCTTTAGAATCAGCGCAAAAAGGGCGTAAACACAAAGCGCGGAGCCGCCGAAACATCAGAATCAGCGAGCTGTCTGCTTTCAGCCCCGAGTGTCGTGCCGTCGGGTGAGAAAGGCGACGTCTCACCGATTCTGATCCGCGGGTCTTTGTGTTTACGTCTTTGTGCAGAATCCGTGTTCCTGCTCTCATTTACTGTTTTAGCTGTTTGGTGGTTCTTGAAATTTTGTGAGGTTTGACCGGAGATTCTGTGGAGAGCTTCATCCTAATGAGGGCTCATGTCCTGAGCAGGGATGCAGAGGAGGAGGAAGGTCCTGGACACATCAGTGGCTTATGTGCGTGGAGAGGAGAACCTGGCCGGCTGGAGGCCCAGAGGAGATAGCCTCATCCTAGAGCACCAGTGGGAGCTGGAGAAGATGGAGCAGCTGCAGGAGGTGGGGCCTTAAAAGATTCATAAAGAAATAAATCTGTTTAATATCATTGAGGGAAAAATGACTTTTCAACTCAAAGAACAAAGTGCTATTCTAAAAAGTTTTTTCTTAGAGTACAGACTTTACATGACTAACCTCCCCTCTTCTCCCCACCTCACATTCGCCCCCATCTTTCGTCCAGGTGGAAAAGACCCGTCACCTTCTGGGAGAGGCGGCTCCCGTGGGAACAGCTCCCACCACCAAGTCCCTGAGTGAGTCTCTGTCCCCCAGCGTGAGCTCCGGCACTCTGTCCACGTCCACCTCCGTCTCCTCGCAGATCTCCAGCACCACCTTTGAAAGCGTGAGAAGGAGCTGGCCACCAAGGTGAGAAAAACGTGGGCTTAGTGGGCGTTCTTGTTGCTGCCTTCTTCCTTCTCTGCTCGGAGCTGATCGGTCTTGTTCCTGTTGTGTTGTAGTGCCTGCGCCTTCTGACACACACCTTTCAGAAGGCTGCCAAAATGGCAAAAACTTCTTTTTTGTCAAACATTATTGCGACTAATAGTCACAATCCTCGAGTTCTGTTCAAAATCTTTAACTCAGTGGTTAATCCCTGCTCTGACGTTTCGATGGGTGCCTCCCCGGCCCTCTGCGAAAAATTTCTAAATTATTTTATAGATAAAATCTCGGTGTTAAGGGCCCCACATTCTCCAGTAGTAAATCAAGCCCCAGTTTCTGAATGTTCAACGGTTTTTCAACAGTTTGAACCTGTGTCATTCTCGACTTTAAAGGAAATAATTAATAACCTGAGAAGCTCAAATTCTCTGCATGACATTATTCCTTCTCGTATCATTAAGAATGCATTGAATACAATCGGGTCCTGTATCTTATTTATAATGAACTCATCACTGTCATCTGGCTATGTTCCGACTGTCTTTAAACATGCAGTCGTGCAACCTGTTATCAAGAAAAGTAGCCTTGATCGTAACACTCTAGCAAATTACAGGCCGATTTCTAAACTCCCCTTCATGTCAAAAGTTTTAGAGAAAATAGTGCTTCAGCAACTACAGACCCACTTAGAGAGAAACGGTATAAGTGATAAATTCCAGTCTGGATTTAGACCGCGTCACAGCACCGAAACTGCCCTACTAAGAGTCTTCAATGACCTTCTTCTAATCGCCGACTCTGGGCGCTCTGCTATGGAAGAAATATAGTATCATCAGAATTCAAGTATTTTTAGACATTGAATTTATGACACTGAATTTTTATCCTCCAAATTTCCCTGCAAAAATATTCACCTGCAAAAATTCACCTGCAAAAATTCACCTGCAAAAAATTCACCTGCCAAAAATTCACCTGCAAAAATTCACCTGAAAAAAATTCACCTGCAAAAAATTCACCTGCAAAAATTCACCTGCAAAAATTCAACTGCAAAAGTGATGAACTTTAATGACCCAAGCCAGAGCAATCAGCACCAGATCGAGTCGAGTGGCTCTCAGCCAATTAAATTACGCTGTTTGATCACATGAGTGTGTGTCTCCTAAAAGAGAGCTGTTTAAAGGTGAGTGATTAAGTTTTTCTCCTAAATAGAGATCATTACAGAACGCCTAGTCCTACTTAAAATCCCATTTATTATTATTATTATTTTTTTTATCATCTACTCGAACTAAGGAAAACGTTTGACTAACTCAAAGACAATTTCCACGCCTCCCCTGCCTGACTGCAGAGGCAGTTTTGAATTTAGGAGCGCCAAGATGGCAGCGGCAAACCCTGGCGGCTCTCCGGTGAGTATATATTTATTTTTTTATCTTCAAGTTTGTCTTTTGAAACCTTAATTTTATTTAAATCCGTTGCTCACGTATAAAGTACACAGACGGGGTCTTTGCTCAACTCGTCTGAGGCGTGTCTCACTAAGCGCTACATGCTAGCATCCTGCTAACCGAGCTACCCTTTACATGCTGTGCTTTAGAAAATAGGATACTCGTTAAAAAAAATACTCCGCAGATATTGATAGATAGACGAACACTGCAAATATAATGTTGGAAACGAGAACGGCCTTTGGTGAAGGGGTAAAATACACCATGAATAGAGCCATAGAGTGAATGGCTGCCATGGTTGCAGAACAGCCTGATTTAATGACAAGAATGGGGAAGAGTGAGGTGAAGTGAACCACAGCCACAAAACACGGTCAGACAAGGCGGCAAAAGGGCAGTGATCTGTCCGTCAGTATGAAGTTGGTGTGTGCTTTGGTGAACAAAAACTCCAGACTGGTAGCAGGAAGATGGGAGACTCGTGTTTCACTGGAATAGTGGTGAATTAAAACATCCTTTGTTGGGGACATTTCGGTGTAAATGCATCCATACAGGCAAGACAGAGGCAGACTAGACAGTGAAGAAAACAAGGCAAACATTAGAAATATAAAAACGGAAATATAGGATGAGTCGGGGATGAGTTCCTGCCCCAAGTGGAGGAGTTCAAGTATCTCGGGGTCTTGTTCGCGAGTGATGGGAGAAGGGAGCCGGAGATTGACAGACGGATTGGGGCTGCAGCTGCAGTAATGCGGACGCTGCACCGGTCCGTCGTGGTGAAGAGGGAGCTGAGTGTAAAAGCGAAGCCCTCAATTTACCGGTCGATCTACGTCCCTACCCTCACCTATGGCCTTTACATGACTAACGTCCCCTCTTCTCCCTACCTCACATTAGCCCCCATCTTTCTTCCAGGTGGAAAAGACCCGTCACCTTCTGGGAGAGGCGGCTCCCGTGGGAACAGCTCCCACCACCAAGTCCCTGAGTGAGTCTCTGTCCCCCAGCGTGAGCTCCAGCACTCTGTCCACGTCCACCTCCGCCTCCTCGCAGATCTCCAGCACCACCTTTGAAAGCGTGAGAAGGAGCTGGCCACCAAGGTGAGAAAAACGTGGGCTTAGTGGGCGTTCTTGTTGCTGCCTTCTTCCTTCTCTGCTCGGAGCTGATCGGTCTTGTTCCTGTTGTGTTGTAGTGCCTGCGCCTTCTGACACACACCTTCAATACTGAATACAACCAGCTGGTGAACAGCATCAGTGACTGCAAGGTGAGAAATAATACAAAGAAATTAAAAAATAGCCTTTCTGTGTCACATCAGGGAGTTCCTATATTGACGTCTACCTCATCCTGCTGTTGTTTCACTTCAGCTTTCTCTCATCTCACCGATCGGACGTGATCCATCCGTGACGAGCTTCAGCAGTGCCACCCTCACCCCTTCCTCTACCTGCCCCTCTCTCGGACTCCCGCTGTGGCTCCATGGGCCAGAAGTAAACATATTTTTAGGAACATTGACCTCGATCTGCAAACGGTTATTGACAGGTTATCCATTTGATTCTAACTTGGTGTGATTTGTGTTAAAGGACCCCTGAGAACAGCTCACGTGCCTCCAGTCCCTCCTGCTCAGACTGTGAAAACTTCCCGATGGTTCCCACTCTGGAGACCTCCTACCTTGCGCGGGCTGCAAAAGAACGAGTTCCTGAACTTGGTGCCTGATATTGAAGAAATGCGACCAGGGTGAGTAATGCCATATTAACCCAAATACTGTCACTATGACATGTGTCTCACAGACCAAATGTAAGTCGACACTCATGTTCTCTAGTTCAAGCAGAAATGATGTGGATCGATTCAAATTCCTGAGCCTGGATGATTTCAGCTGGAAACAAACCAACTCTGCTTCTTCCTCAGGTAATTCAATTCAATGTTATTTATATAGCGCCAAATCACAACAAAAGTCGCCTCAAGGCGCTTCATAGATACAGAGAAAAACCCAACAATCATATGACCCCCTATGAGCAAGCACTTTGGCGACAGTGGGAAGGAAAAACTCCCTTTTAACAGGAAGAAACCTCCAGCAGAACCAGGCTCAGGGAGGGGCGGGGCCATCTTCTGCGACCAGTTGGGGTGAGAGAATGAAGACAGGATAAAAGACATGCTGTGGAAGAGAGACAGAGGTTAATAACAGATATGATTCAATGCAGAGAGGTCTATTAACTCATACTGAGTGAGAAAGGAGACTGGAAAGGAAAAACTCAATGCATCATGGGAATCCCCGGCAGCCTACGTCTATTGCAGCATAACTAAGGGAGGATTCAGGGTCACCTGGTCCAGCCCTAACTATATGCTTTAGCAAAAAGGAAAGTTTTAAGCCTAATCTTAAAAGTAGAGATAGTGTCTGTCTCCTGAATCCAAACTGGAAGCTGGTTCCACAGAAGAGGGGCCTGAAAACTGAAGGCTCTCCCTCCCATTCTACTTTTAAATACTCTAGGAACAACAAGTAGGCCTGCAGAGCGAGAGCGAAGTGCTCTAATAGGGTGATATGGTACTACAAGGTCATTAAGATAAGATGGGGCCTGATTATTTAAGACCTTGTATGTGAGGAGCAGGATTTTGAATTCAATTCTGGATTTAACAGGAGAAATCTGCTCTCTCTTTCTAGTCCCTGTCAGGACTCTTGCTGCAGCATTTTGGATTAGCTGAAGGCTTTTCAGTGAGTTTTTTGGACATCCTGATAATAATGAATTACAGTCGTCCAGCCTGGAAGTAATAAATGGTAAATGCCCTGTATTTATATAGCGCTTTACTAGTCCCTAAGGACCCCAAAGCGCTTTACATATCCAGTCATCCACCCATTCACACACACATTCACACAATAAATGCATGAACTCTGAGACAGGATATTTCTAATTTTAGAGATGTTGCGCAAATGGAAGAACGCAGTCTTACATATTTGTTTAATATGTGCGTTGAAGGACATGTCCTGGTCAAAAATGACTCCAAGGTTCCTCACAGCGTTACTGGAGGCCAAGGTAATGCCATCCAGAGTAAGAATCTGGTTAGATACCATATTTCTAAACTTTTCAGGGCCGAGTACAATAACCTCAGTTTGATCTGAATTAAGAAGCAGAAAGTTAGCGGCCATCCAGGTCTTTAAGTCTTTAAGACATTCCTGCAGTGTAACTCATTGGTGTGTGTTATCTGGCTTCATGGACAGATAGAGCTGGGTGTCATCTGCATAGCAGTGAAAATTTATGCTATGTCTTCTAATGATGCTGCCTAGGGGAAACATGTATAATGTAAACAGAATTGGTCCTAGCACTGAACCCTGTGGAACTCCATAATTAACCTCAGTGTGTGAAGAGGACTCTCCATTTACATGCACAAATTGGAGTCTATTAGATAGATATGTCACAAACCAAACTGTACACTGGTAAACTGTTACAATAAAAAAGACCGTAATTTTCTTTACTCTTCTTTATTTATGTAACTTTTGTTTTCACTGGCAATTTAGTGTTAGGTTAGGACAAAAAACAAATTAGGAAGGTTAAAGACAGAACATTACTAGATTGTGGTTTTAATTAAAATGTAGCCTTTGACAATGCTGAACACATGAGAAGCTACTTTAAGGCATATCACCCAATTTGTAATATTGCTAAACATTTCTTAAGGCAGACAAGTTATGCTGGCTGGGTCAGTGTCATTTTTGTTGTAATTGATGTCTGGTTTGTTCTGTTCCCTAGTGATGGGTAGGGATGGGTACCAGTATCCGGTGTTCTGACATAATCCTTGAAATAGTAATAACACAGTATCCTCAGCAAAGATGAATTAAACAAGTTTTATTTTAATGGAAGTTTACTTCAAGTCTTCAGATTTTTACTGTCTTTTATTTGATTACTTTAAAGTATATGATTACATTAGAGTAATTAAATAAAGACAGTTTTGATGGAGCTCCTGAGCCAGCCCAAGCTCTCTATGAAGACGAGGAAAAACTCCCCTGGGGGGGCCAGACTGACGGGAAGAAACCTCGGGAAAGCCCATTCAAAGAGAGATCCCCTTTCCTGGGATGGCTGGGGGGGTTACAGGAATTCCAAAACACTGAAATTTAAAGTGGGCCAATTAAAAAGAATTATTTCCTGAAAAAAAGAAAGGTAATTCATACATCACACATAAATGATAACGTCTGAATTGTGTGTGTTTGTGTGTGTGTGTGTGATAGGCTTATCTCAGCCAAGTGTGATGCTGTAGCTCCTCCAGCGTCGGCCGCGTCTCCGGGACTTTGGTTAAACAGGCGTCCAAGAAATCCCGGCAGTCTGGAAAGAAAGGAAAGAGAAAAAACATGAAGATGATAGTTCCAGTGGTCCAAGCCATCAGTCAGTCTTGAAGTGTGACGTTTTCTTACTTTTGGACAGATGTCTTTTGAATTTCAGGCGCTTTTTGAGGAAGCTCGTGGTGTTAAAGTCCCCGGCATGAAGCGCTTCGTACAGAACCACTCCCATTTGCCATACCGTGGTGGGTCCACACCTGTAGCAACTGCGCCCGTACCACTCGGGAGGGGAGTAAATTTCTGTACCTAATAAACAGACACAATTGCAATTTCTTCTAAAACAAAAGGCGAAAATTGTGACATCTGTGAAGAGCAAGAGCAGAATATGTTACCATAGAAGACGCGGTACTGCGACTGCTCCTTAACAAAGCAGCTCAGTCCAAAGTCGATGATACGAACACGCGGTACATCTGAGCCGGTCTCAATTAGAATGTTCTCACTCTTGATGTCCCGGTGAAAGATGTGTTTATCCTCCAGGTGCTTCGCAGCATCAACCAGCTGCTTCAGAATGACCTGGAATAGAGCAGGGCGATATGACCAAAAATATTTATCACGATATACATTTGAAAAGTTGCGATAACGATATAACTGACACTAGACAAAATACTTTACAACTCCACAACTTTATTAGTGCAAAAAACCCCATAAATGTATTTTCACTTAAACAAGCAGCTGTTTTTTTATGTGCATTAAAGTTATATAAAAATGTAACAGTGCAAATGCAAATTCCTTGCTGACAGTTTAACCAAAAGGCATTTCCAGTGGAAATTGGCCGACATATCCTCAGCATAACCATGTAAAATATCCACAAAGCTTAAAAAGAGGTTATTCACACACAATACGGTAATATCACGTTGAGGTGCAGTACGTATCACTCCGCGAGGCGCCTGCCTACGATAGCCGTAATGCTCCGACAATCCATCGAGCGGTGCGGCTTTGTAGCTTAGCAAAGTCGCCGTGTACATAAAATCGTTTTGAGGTCAGTAAACACAACCAGAATTCATACATAAGGCACACGGGATTATAAGGGGCACTGTCGAGTTTCAGAAAAATCAAAGGATTGATTTTAAGTGTGCCGTATTTTCCAAACAACACGGTAATAACGGCGGCCCGCTAGCATGCGCTACCAAAAATCGTGCTTTGTTGTGTATCTGACGGACGAAAGCTAAACCAGTTCCACACCACTAAAGTTGCAGCATTTTTACAAACCAGTTCTGGTTCATCCGTTTCATTCAACGATCCACTTTTGCTCTTCTCTTTCTGCGTCACCGCCATCTGCGTATGTAAACATAGGCACTGCGCATGCGCGTTTTACCTATTCTAGCGCGATATTTCATTTTCCTATCGTTGCCCAAAATTACACCGGTATTACCGTGAATGGTATGATATAGCCCAGCCCTACCTGGAAACGATGAAAAAGACAATAATCAATCAATGGGTTAATGTTTCTCTAATACTCTGTGCTTTGATTGAATGATGTACAGTCTAAGACTCTTCTAAGGCAAGTCAACTTGCCTTGGCCTTGTCCTCTGGCAAAAATCCTCCATTTTCTTCTATGTATTTATCCAGGTCCACAGCGGGGACAGGTCTCTCCATCACCAGGATCAGCTCTCTGCCAAAGTCAAACCACTCCAACAGAGACACTGGGGCTGATGTTTCCACTGATCCATCTGCTTCAGCTGCAAGCTTCAGCATGATGGCAACTTCCACTGACACATTCTTCCCGTTATCATCCTGAAATATTTCAACAAAGTGGATGATGAGGCACAGACGTTCCACAGGTGAACGCTGCATGCAATCCACTAATGTAAAAACAATTCAAGTCTTGCACATTTACCTTCACTTTGCAGTACACTTTCCCCTTTGGGATGTGTTTGATGGCCACCTAAAAGACACAGGGCATTGATGAGCATTTCCTCAGTATGACATCATTAAAGGTGTAAAACAGCATACATCTCAGCTTACGATATTATCCCTTATCTGCATTACTGCCTGTCTTACTACCACCATCTGAACACTTACTGGTAAATGATCCTTTATGCGGTAGCCAGAAAACACTGCTCCACATCCTCCTTCTCCAAGCCGGTGCTCCTCCACGTATCTCGCTTGGAAGTCACCTAAACAGACAAACACAAATTGGGTTTTACTACAGCTGTCACACAAATTACTCTCTGCTGTACCCTAAATGTTCATTTTGCTCTTCACCTGAATATAAAAGCTAAGCTGCTTGCTACTTACGTTTCTGTTCAGCCACTGACTTTTTGGCAACGGTTTTGGTTTTGTCCTGGTCCACGTTCTTTTTCTTAGGTGGGTCCCTGGTGTCTCCCGCAGCTTTCCTTTTGCCAGCCTTTTTGTTTTTACTGCAGCTCTCTGAAATCTCTATGCTGCAGTCTGCAGATGTGGAAAACACCAAAAGCACGTCAGCTTATTAGATAATAGACACAAATATCTCCCAAACACTAATATCTTCAAACTAGCAACCAGATGTACACTTAATCTACCCCTCACTCAACTAATTAGCCTACCTTTACCAGTGTCCAACCAGGAAGATGCCTGCCCCTTGTCACCGCTCACATGCTCAAGAAGTTTACGCTTCTTTGCTGTATTGGTTGTCCCCGCTTCATCTTGTTGGACCTTTCGCTTAACTCCCCCGACCACATGAGCATCTGAGCTGGTGGAAGGACCAGCCTGCTCAGTGACCCTCCTTCTTTTTATGGGGGTCGTTTTTTCAGGACTGGCCTTTCTTTTAGCCATCCTGCTCTTACAATCTATAAACAACAACAACACATTAGTGAAAAAGAGCGCTCGACATCAGGACTAGAAGGATTTTGATGTCATTGAATTTTAAATTAGTATTGCTTACAATATAACAACAAGTTTATCCTTTTGATAAAAAAACACACCAACACGAGTCCATACTAGGTCTACTAAGTCTAGATACTGATGACACTTGTTGCTCTGTTTTCACTGCTCAGTCCAAGAATAAACTTGTCACATTATTTTACCAAAAGACAAAGTGCCCCAGTAACCTTTCTTTGATTAGACATGTTGCACTCAGGTTAGTTTCAATCAAAACCAGGATTTAAATCCTCTAAAAATGAATCATTTTATACACAGAGCCTCAACATTGTTAGAAATGTACATTCTGTTATTTGGGGGATTTTTTTTTTTTTACTTACTTTGATCTCCTGGATCTTTCTTATCTGCCTCAGTCGTAACTTTTCTTGTTTCCTTTTTCATCTTAATTTTTTGAGAACTTTTAAAATAGAAAATGTCACCTTAATGAGTGAATAGTCCTTCAAATGTCTGGATGCTTGACTTTTCTAACTAAGCTGTATAAGTCAGTTCTGTAAGTGAGCTTTAAAAGTAAACTCCGGAGTCTATGGCAACACAACATTAGAACCTTGCCTTTTAGTGACATCACTAAAAGGCAGTGTCCCAAGTAGTTTAAAGAAAAACACTCTGGCATTTCATATAATTCAGTAATTTCACATTAAACTTTCTTTCATTATCCTTTCATTATTTGTTTAAAGACTTGATGTGTGGATGCTACTATGAAGACTTCTAGTTGAGCAAACACTAATAAACACTGACTAGTTTATCTGAGATAAAATATAACACTTTTTTATTAAGTCAGTGTTAACTCTGTTTTTTTCTGTTAGGATCATTCAATAGTATCAGAAGAGAAAAGAAAAGTATGTTTTGTTTTGTTTTTTTTTCTTCAAGATCTGTTCACATGTACTTAGCAAGAGTGAGTACACAGCGTTAAAAAATGGTACTTAGTGTAGTGAGGAAGGCGAAAAGCAAAGAGAGCATATGAAGGTAATATTGAAGAAGGCGCAGTTTTGAAGTGGTGAAAGGCAAAGGCATGAGTGCAAGCGTAATAAAAGGTAATAGGAGAGATGTAGAGCAGGCGGAGGACTTGGCTGGAGCAGGAAAAGGCAAAAGGGGAAACGCGAGTGCACGTCTGAAACTTCTTCACTGTCAGTGAATCCTAATTCTTAAGACTAACTAAGAAGAATAAATCTATGTATGAATGTCGTTTTGAGCACATCTCCTCTTTCTACTGATCAATTCTTCCACCTAGTGGATAGATGATAGTATTGCAGCTTGTCTCATCACCTGTTGTGTGTTTTGTGTGCTCCAGAACCTGCGTCCTGTTGGAGTACTGTACGTAAAACACACAAACACTGGAGTGAACACAGCTGCTGAACATCTCTATATTCATAACTTCTTCCTGTTATCTCATATCTGTCTCCCTTCATCTGTGTAGGAACGGTGTACAGATGTATGATTATGTCACTCCTGCTCCTCCACCTAACACCTCCACTCCAAACTAAGTTTGCTCTGCTGCTTTGGTTCACTGATCTGCAAGTATCTGTCATTTGTTTGCAGATGTCTGCAGGAATTATTGTAATGATCCATTAATGGTGCCTGATTTCATTCAGTTTTACAGCTTGTCTCGTGTTTTTGAACTGCTTCCCTCACAGTTGTACACAGTGCTAACATGTGCTCTTACTCTGTGTTTTATTCCTGAAGAAAAAGAAAGTGCCCAGCCCAGCAGGATGAAGATGGGCCATACGTCAAGAAGCCGCCAAATGCCTTCATGCTCTATCTCAAAGAGCAGAGGCCAAAGGTCATTGCTGAACTCAACATCCCTGGAAGTGCAGCCGTAAATGCAGTGGTGGGACAGAGAGTAAGTGTGTAACTCTGCATACATTTATGCATCTGTTAATGTTGTCTGCTCATGTTTTTGCATGTGTCCCAGCTGTCCTGTAGTTATGTGTAGTAGCAGTGCTCACAGTGTGTTCTTATGATCTTCTGTCCACAGTGGAAGTCGCTTTCAAACGACCAGAAAGCCAGATATTTCAAGCAGGCTGAAACAGAAAGACAGAATCATGCCAAAGAGCATCCAGCCTGGTCGACCAAAGAAAACGATGTATGTCCAAAGTGCCAACATGCAGTTCACACATGTGTGCATCACTGCACTGAATGATGAAACAGTCACTGCACAGAGTTTGTATCAGCTAATGAAAACTCTGTGTTTGTTTTCAGGGCAAGAAGAGGAAGAGAATCAGACTTAGAAAAGGTGAAAGAAGATTTCTTGGTATCACAGCATCTTACATAAGAAATGTGATGAAAACGAAACAAAAATGTGTTGAAAAAAAGAAGACTTAATGTATTTTTGTTTGCGTTGCAGAATCTGCATCTGTACATGAAGAAGTTGTTCAACAAGCCAACAACTTGCGTATGAGGCCAGCTGAGTCACAGCCATCTTCTTCTTCTCATTCATTTCTGACAGAGCCACATGAGCAGCCACAGACAAAGCCAGATGACAGCAGCGTGCCTCGCCAGCAGCCAGTGTGTTTGCAACTGCCAAACACACAGGCATCACCCTACACACCTCTCTGTCAAGAAAATCAGGTCTCCCCTGCCTCTCACATGAATTTCCCTGAGGACACCTCATTGGACTCCCCTGTTGCAGCCCTTCAGTTCCAGACAGAGGAAGCCTTTGTCGCAGACAGTGAGGAAGAACTGCTGTCAGTGCTGGAAGAGCTCGACCCCCTCCCCATCACTGCGCAGTCTCAGCAGCCCTCACCCACCCCTGCCTCTCCTGTAGATGCCTCTCAAACTGCATCAGTTCAACCCCGAGTTGAATTATTTCAAGACCGAGATGAGCCCATCTGTTTTGCTGAAATCCAAGAAGACATGTGGTCAGTGCTTGACTACCTCCCCGTCTCTCAGCAGTCTAATGTGCTCTCCTCTCCTCATTCACACAACTACTCGACTCCTAAACAAAATCTCATCCGTCCTGCTGATTCCCCTCCATCCAAACTGGCGTCCTCCCCTGTTGCATTCACTGAATTGCCGTCAACAACCCCCATCTTTTGCCAACTAATGAAAAACAATAATTTCATTATAGACTATTGGACTGATTTCAATTGAATTAAACTGTTACTCCTGTTATTTCAACATCTGTCTTTGTGTAAATAAATGAAAAAAAACAAAAGATGCTTCTGTCATAAGTTACAGCAGGATGAAACAACCTTCATGTAGTTCTTGTTTTTAACACTGCAAACCTTCTTTAGTTCTTTTGTGTCCTTTCATATTCAGCACACATCTGTCAGGGAAAAGCCAGATAAAAACACTGTGGGGTCTTTTGGGACACGTGCTCGTTGGGTTTACTCATAGATATCAGAAATGATCTGTTCTGTATTCAAAGGATACACGAAGGACGTTTGTATTAAATGCAATATAGCGACTGATCATATGCTGGTTTCTTTGGGGGCTTTTCACCACCATGTTACACAAATCCAGTTTCTAACTGAAAAGAAAATCCTTCACCATTTTCTAATCAAATTCCCTGGTTTCCCATGTCAGAGATGTCATGGCTGAAAGGATCATCGCATATTGAGCTCAAAGCTAAACTCTTGTGTAGGGCCTCTTTCCATGTTGCACCATTCATTTTAAAAAGTCCTGGTAACAAGAGACAGAGGTGACTTGATGTATTACAGTTACTTCCCAATTTACAGAAATGATGTGACTTCTGACATTTTCCTAGCAGGAAATGTGCTACTGTGGGACACTGAAAGAATAAACAGCAAGGCACGTTTTGTTTTAATAACTTTTCTTTACTTCATTTGTATGAACTAGGTTTACCTTACAAAATCTTATACTGTATATAATGTTTTATGTTTAATTCATGTCAATGTCAGCTCGTGTTTACTCGGGTGAGCAGTACCGGCCCACAAAGAGAATGCTCTTGGTGGGTTTATGTCGGATGAAGAAGATGAAGGGATGGTCGGCAACAAACTCAGCGGGAATCGTTATAGAGCGGACTTCCATGTCAACCCCAGTGGCAGCAGCAGCCTCAGCTCCTTCTTCATTTACATCCACCAAAGCCTTGTGGACAACTTTGGACACTATCAGGTCATTTGCTGGAGACATTCCTAGTAGATGAAGAGCCCAGAAATCAGTTGTGTTTTATTCTTTAACAGATGATGTTTTGCAGTTTTTGTGCTCTCAATATAACTGTATAATTGATTCAGTGTGTCTCATTGGTGCAATATTTCTCACCAGAGAAGTCTCTCTTGTAGATGTCAAAAGCGTTCTCCATTCCCATGTTGGTCAGGATTTTCTCCAAGTCATACTTCTCCATCTTAAATCGAGGGAGCTTGACATCAACCTCGTTGGGGCTCATCATGTCTGGGCGAGTCCAGTCCACAAAGTTCTGATAGGTCAGCTCCTTCTCCAGCTGTGTGGATACAGTGTCACTAGCTTGTCTGATTGAAACTGGACATTAAAGTACTGGTAAGTGCATCTTACCTTTTCCATGCCTGTGGTATCATCTTCTATGTCATTAGGCAGGAATATGAGCATGCTGAGGTCATTTCCTTTATACGGCATCTCAAGAATCTGTCCAGAAACATTGTTTTTATTTATTACTCCATCAAAGATGATCTGACTTCCTAATCTAGAAATTTAGGCTGATATTTGTAAAAGACAAGTTTTAGATCATGCTGGTGAAATCCTGTAATAAGCTGAAAGTGATGGATGTTACCTTGCAGTTGGCCTCAGGAATGGTCGCAAAAGGAAATTTACTTTTCTGCTGCATCATCTTCACCGGCTTAGTGTCGTTCTGAAAAATAGGGGAGACAAGAGAAATGTTTTTTGTGTTTAGTCTCAAAATGATCTCAAAAAGTTCTGTCATGGTTTTATTCCAGCCATTGAGTGGATTTGGATGTAGAGCACACGTCACAACACAATTTGTTCTTGTTAGCCGAAGTTTGTGATGTGCTGTTGTTTGAGATTTATTTGAGAACTTATTGGATATTACATGAATAATAAACTGCATTGCATAACTGCATAAGTTGGAAAGTGATCGTCCTAAAAGCACGATTTTATCCCCTCAGAGCTCCAGGCTTTATGTTCTCATTCAGCAAAATCCACAGCTCGTTTGTAGTATGACAGATCAAAGTATAACTGCACCATCCTATGCTGCCTTTCTGCACTGTTACCTTGTTCAGTCGAAACTGCACATCAGCAGTCTTCTCCTCCTTAAACTGCGTGTTCCAGCTGCCCTTGAAGTAAATGGCATTCACGAGAACCAGCTTCGTCAGGCTACCCACTGCATCCTGGCTTAGCAAGTCCTTGATTTTATCTGGTAAAAAGAATTTATGAAAACTATTAACTATTACCAAAGATGCACTAGTTACTGTACAACATCTTCAGCTATAAAATCAGAAAACAGGGCAACAGCAAGATGGTTTTTATTTTAAAAAAAAAAGGGGGAAAAAGCTTTATGATCAGTATAACAGGGAACAAAAAACAAAAATTCAAGCGTAGGCTTGAAGCCACTGAGGTGGTTGTTAGCGGGGGTGACGCGATGCTTCTGGTATGCATGAATTAATTAAACAGTCCAATAACTCCAGCAGTACTTATCTTGTCCTTTTTGGTCTTTGTTCCAAACATTTTAAGATAAAAGCGCAGCGGTCACAAACGTTTTGCCTTCTTATGATTAACAACACACCTGACGCTGATTACGTGCGTCCACCTTAAATACCTTACATAAACCTACCATACAGAAACTTAAAAAGGTGGAATCCTCAGTGGTGCTTGGTGCCACACCCTCAGGGACTTTAATGTTATATAAAAACACTGACAGCTCAATATCTACCTCAGTCACTCTCCCTGATCCAGCTGAGTCACCAATAGGAAAAATCTGCTTTTCACAGGAACTTGGTAACAGCAATAAGAGAATACGTAGTTTATTCCAAGAAGATATCGTCTCTCTCCCATATATAACATCTTATTGGAACCGATATGTTCCAGATATCAAGTGGAAGACAGTCTGGATGGTCCCCCATAAATATTTGATTGTAAATAAGGTGAAAGAAGTCTCATTTAAAATTCTACATAAATGTTATCCAGCCAGTCACTACATGGTAAAATTTAAAAGGGACATAAATACTAATTGTACTTTCTGTGGGGATCATCCAGAAACTGTGACGCATCTTTTTTGGTACTGTTCTTTTACACAGAGATTCTGGAAGGAATTTAGCAGGTTTGTTATTGTCCATATTTTAAGGGAGTTTTCTTTACGATGGGAAAATGTTTTATTCTGTTTGTTTAAGTTCCCCAAGAAGTATGATAAATGTTTTTTATGATGAATTTGTTCATACTTTTAGCTACATTTTTTATCCATAAATGTAAGTTTACTAACAAAACACCATATTTCTGTCATTATTTTAAGGATGTGGAAATGTACATACAATCAATATCAGACTCCACCAACACAAAGGCTCTCAAAACAATACATGTATGTGTATTCTTATAATTGTTACCCTTTTCTTTTACCCTTGGCTTTTTGTGTTCATGTTCTGTTGTTTTGTATACTTCATCTGTTCGTATGTTGTATACTCATTGTTTGTTAAATAAAGTAAAAAAAAAAAAAAAAAAGAAAGAAAAAGAAACTTAAAGGTTACCTCTAGCGGCAACATGAGGTATCAACCCAAAAATGGCTCCTACAAAAATAATGGGATTAAGATTGTCTCATTTCCAGCAGGTGGCACCACAGTCCTATAACCCTCATGGAAAGTCCTTGTATCCTATTATTATAGATGGTAGATTTATAAATGGCCTGTATTTGTATCGCGCTTTTATAAAAACAATGAATGAATTTCCTGCTGCACTTAAGATAATATAAAGATATAGAATCAATAGCAGCCAATCCTAAATGGGCCTGAAAAATAAAAATATGTTAAAGACACAAGTGATCAAAGTAGAAGTACCCATCACATAATATAATAAGAATAGAAGAATTGGCCTGCTATTTACAGCAACATACTGCTGTGATGGTTTTATTAATAGCATGAAACCAAACAGTAAAACCCAGAGATAGTGCTGCTTAATACTGAATAGAAATTAGACTGGAAGAACTGGAAACAGAAAATAATGTGGACGGTGGACAATCCGGTAATAATGTCTCAACTGAACACAACACAACTGATCCCCAAGGATTTACAGTGGAGATCATTTAAAGTTACATTATGCTTACCTTGTGTCTGCTTCTCCACCCAGCTGTTGATGTGGACCCTGGCCTCCTCTGCATTTCCTTTGAAGTCCACAGACTCGAGCTCAGCGTTGTAATGCTTTTTGGTGCCTTTTAAAAATTCCTGGAATTGTGAAAATAAGTCACTCGAAACAGATTCAACAAACTACGGAGACTTCAATCAAGTTCAGTCACTGTGTTAAAACATTTTCAGTCCTTTGGATGCAGTTGAAGCTTGAACTAACCAGTCAGCCTTTGTCTAATAAAAGATTAAAGCAAATAGCTTGTTGGATGCCAATTTAAGTAGCCAGCATAGAAAAATACACAGATTGTGGGTAAGCTGGTTTGTAACGTTTCGGTTCAGATGGCAGCAGTTTTTGCTGACAAATGTAAGTTTTAGTATTTCTAAGTATTAATAAATTACTGTTTTACTTCTTTATATATTTCTTTATACTATTTGCAAATATTTTAAAAGTTTAATCTGCTGTGATGACTGGAACACAAAGGAGAGAAATGGTGCCTTGTCTCTTGTTATGAACTGTAAATAGCTAAGTGCTTAGAGCAGCTGGTCCTAGCACACTTCAAATCCTGTCTCCCCCCCACCCTGGACCCCCACCAATTTGCATACCGCCAGAACAGGAGCACAGAGGATGCAGTCTCCATCGCACTGCACTCTGTCCTCTCACACCTGGACAACAACAACACCTACGCCAGAATGCTGTTTATAGACTTCAGTTCAGCATTCAATACAATCCACCCCTCACAACTCATCAGGAAACTGACAGACCTGGGCATCAGTTCCCTCATCTGCAAATGGTTACTGGACTTCCTGACCAACCGCCCCCAACATGTCCGGCTGGATAACCACTGCTCATCTACCATCACAATGAACACCGGTGTACCACAAGGCTGTGTGATGAGCCCTTTCCTCTACTCCCTCTTCACCCACGAC